TGAATCACTGACCTTTTGGTCAGCAGTCCAATGTTTTAACCAGAGTCCCACCAGAGCTCCTCAAATGTCTCCAGACATGCATAAATGTTCCTTCAAAGGCAAAATTATCCACGCTGAGAACCATTGATACACTGGTCATCTCCAAAGCAAGTTGTATGTACTCAGAGAATGTGCAAGAAAATGTTAGCATTCCTACTTAGATGTTTCAGTGGGTGGACATGCAAAATAGCCTGTTACCAAAATGGAGGCAGTAACGCTGTGGCAGCCCCCGGCCATGGCCTTCAACTGTTCTCCCTGCTCCACTCCTTCAATCATGTTACCCAGCAGCCAGCTGTATTTTTTCCAATATAAACAAAATGATGACATGCTAGAGTATGAAAACCCTCAACAGCTTCTTAACGCACTCGGAAAAGACTACAACCCTTTCCGTGCATGGTCTCCAAGGTCCCACGTGGTCTGGCCCTTTTTAATCACTTCTCTCCAGCTTTCTCATCTAAGGGCCTTCCATGCTCTTCCTTCAGTCTAGAATGCTCCACAACCACCCCCCCCCCCCATTGCCTGGCCTTCTTAGCCTTCAGTTCTTGCACTAAAGATCACTTTCTTTTTTTTCAATTGTGATTTGGGTTAAAGTTTATAGAGCAAATTCATTTTCCATACAGCAGTTCACATACATTTTGTCTCATGACATTGACCACAATTTCCCATAATGCAACAGCTTGCTTCCCACTTCCTCCCCATAGCCACCTTTTCCCTGTGTCCTTCCCTCCTATGCACTCCTGCTCCCCCACCCAAGCTGTCTCCTTGTGCACACACAGCCCTTCTATTCTCCCATGATTGATTTCTGCAAGGAGTATATCTACTAATGTAAATGTTCAGCTTATATGCCTGTCTTTTGTTTGGCTGGAAGCCACAGGAGAGGGTTCAATTCCAGACCTGAAGGGCAGTTAGAGGCCATAGTCTCAGGGGTTTCACCAGGCTCTATGAGATCAGCAAACCTGGTGCCCCCCTCCTTAAATGATTGAGTTTTGTTCCACA